ATAAGTATAGTGAGATATCGAAAAATCCCATGAAAACAAAAAGTCGCTAAATTCTCATCAGGTGCTACTAATTGCCAAAGGCTCTGAGTACATACACGAATTACTCTGATACTAAAACTAAATATTCATTTTGGAGTGTAAGACCTGCTGGCACCAAGCCAACACTTTCCGCTGAGTTAACATCCATCATTTTGCTATTGGGACAAAAAGGGGTCCATCTGCCTGTGTGTGTCTCAGCCAATGAAGAGCTACATGCAGGTTTTTGCAGCAAAGAAAGTTTTATCAGAGAGCTTCAAATCCCAGAGACGTAGGCAAGCTGCCACTCACAGGCCTGGATCCCCAACTATCTCAGGGGTACAGATTATATAGGGAAAAATCAGCAACCATAGAAACTGGGGGATTTAAGGTCGTGGGTGTTACTGACTGGACAATTGGATGAAGTAACCGCTCATTGTCCAGATCTGGAGTCAGCCATGGCCCCATCCCGTCCGGTCCCGTGGCCAGTGGGGTTGTTATTCCACCTTGATGGGCCTGGGGCTGAAACACATCTAAGGCTAAAATGAAGTCCAAAGAGGCTCCATTAATCTTACTCAGTTAATCTTACATCCTAAGGCTTAATGATTAATGGAGAAGACAGAGGATAAGGGCGGAGAAAAGAAGCAGGTGGGTCCCAGTGCTCCTATCAGAGAAAAGAAAAAAAAAACGTATTAAAGAAATGAAGTTGGCGCGCAGTTACGACCTCACGCAGTCAGACTTTCTTTTCTTGTGATGCAACTTTCAAACGTACAATACGGCATCGTTGACTACCGTCACCATGATGTGCCTGGCGTCCCCAGGACTCATTTATTTTAGAGCTAGAAGTTTGTACCACAATCTAAAAAAAAAACAAACAACTAGGATGTATGTTCTGAGAAGGAAGAGGGGCTGGAAGGCAAAAAGTGGACCGATATTTCAAGTGGAACCCTAGCGGGGAGCACGGTCACATGGGGTGGAGGCCCCTGTGCTGTCAGAGACATGGGCGGCCACCCAGGTGCAGTGCGGGTCCCTTCAAGGCCGGGGGCTCCCACAGTAGCCATTCATCACAGCCCCTCCACTCTGTCAACCTAGTCATTTTGCTCTTGAAAGATGCCACTTCCCACAAAGCAAAGTTTGGGTCCCTGCCTCATCTCACATCCCTCCCCACAGTTCACTTAACAGGAACCCCAGAGTCCACAGGAAGGCCTCAGGCTCACACGGGCCTGCACCCCACCTCCCAGCCCAGACACCGAATGATGACACAACCTCGGGCAGAATTCGGAGCCTCGGTTTGTGAGGAAGAGCTAATGATGGCTGAAGGGAAGTGTACACGAAATAGGGCTATTGTGAGGATTGAACTGGTTAACATTTATAAAGCTCTGAAAACAGCACGCGGCCTCTAAAACTGTGTTCTGTTTATTAAATAAACACGTAAATTATCTGGAAAAGTACTTAGCAGATTATGCACCTAATGTTAGGAATACAAGGTAAAAATCGTGCCTCTCGTACAAATATAAAAAGAAAACACATCAAGGATTTTGTTGAATTCATTAATAAGGAAACCAGTATGACATTTTAACCATTTCAAAGGAGAATTCAAAAAACCACACAAAAAACGAAACCCAGCTGAGCACATCT